ACCATGTTTTAACTGAGTTCATCTGTACACATTGGAACAATGAAATATCGCTCATCATACACTGTCCTTGGGAAAAGCATTCATATCCACTTCACACTCACTCTGCACCATGTACTGTATTAAGGGTTCAGAGAAACAAAGCATATCCCATAGGGTCCCAGTGTGGTTAGGGGGTAAAAGGGCTGAGGATTGTTGGATGTATCTGTCGCTCCCCGTCTTCGTGGAGGAGCAACACAGGACCCTGCGCTGTTCTCTCGTCTGCTCGGCCCTCCCCGGGTTTGCTGCTGGTTCTTCCCGGGTTGGCTACTATCCCTTCCACCTCCGTGGAAGGGTAGTTCCCCCTGGCCACATTCCCCACTTCCGCAGGGGAGCGGCACACCGCCGGCCGGCTCTCTCGGGGGCTGCACAGGTGTTCCCCTTAGAGGTTCCCCATAGATGTTCCTGGTGAATGCCGTCTCTCTCCTCCTTTATAGTCCTCCTCCGCCAATCCCAACTCGGCTGCCCACACGCCGAGTACGCTGCTCTCCTCCAATCAGTAGCAAGTCCTACAGTTTATTGGTTGAACTGGAGGCAGCTGTGCAGAAGCTGTTTACTTCTCTCCCAGCGCCATATTGTGGGAGAGCAGATGCATAGAATAAGTCTTAATTCCAGTAACTCAGTCTAGTCCGGTTTGCTCCCCACAGTGGGAGAGCAGATGCATAGAATAAGTCTTAATTCCAGTAACTCAGTCTAGTCCGGATTGCTCCCCACAGATCCCCCTTTCTTTTTATTTTTTGGCGTTGATACGTGCCTGTCTTCGGTGTCCCGCGGCACACACTCTGCTCTACTTGCTAGAGTTGCCACAGGCTCTTACAAGTCCTATCAATCAGGCAAACCGAATCCGGGTCCTCTCTTCGCCATGTTGTGAGGAGGTTTTTAGGCGCTGATGCGTGCCTGTATTCGGTGCCCTGCAGCGCATGCTCTGCTCTGCCTGCAGGGGCTTACAAAACCTAACAATCAGGCAAACCGAATCCAAGCCTTCTCATTGCCGTATTGTGGGGGAGACTTATTAGTGTTGGTTCGTGCCTATCTTCGGTGACCTGCAGCTCATACTCTGGTCGAGCTGCCTGTCGGTGCTTACCGCCCTAATCAGGCAGACCGAATCCAAGCCTCCTAATTGTATTGTATTGTGGGGAAGCCTTACTGATGTTAATTCGTGCCTGTCTTCGGTGACCTGCGGCGCATAAGCTGCTAGCCGCCGCAGGTGCTCATCGTGCTCATCGCCTCACTTAATCAGGCAGACCGAATCCAAGCTCTCACAGTGCAGTGTTGTAGGGAGGCCTTTCTATTTCTCTATTTCTCTATCTCCGGGCATTCCTATTTCTCCCATTTTACTTCTATCTTCCAGCATTCCTATTTCTCTCACTTTTACTTCTAAACTTCTGTTTCTCTTATCCCTGCGGCTTCCCGGAGGCGCTCGCCCCGAGGCTGCTTCTCGGCACCTCGCCCCGCGGCAGCTTCACGGCTCTGCGAGGCTTCCCGGCGCCTCGCCCCGCCGGCGGGTTCCCGGCTCTGCGCGCACGCTCCGCGGTCTCCACGCACTTCGCGCCCGCACCACGGCCTCGCGCCAACGCCCCGTGCTCTCTCTGCACGCGGCGGCTTCCGCGAATGTTTCCGCCACCACCGGCATTCAGTCCAAGTTCCCCGGACTAACCTGGCGAATCCTGGCGGCCCACGTCTCTGCCTCTGGTTCCAGATCTTCGCCTCTTGCTCCCCGGGGTGACTTGAAGAATTCCAAGATGGCTTGGCCTGCACTCGCGGCTTCATCCTCCCTAACATTTCTCTCTACCCGGTATGTTTCCTTAAGTTTTCTTCCAACAATATTCCTCTCATTTCTCCTGGCTACTCCCCACAGTCCGTATCCGAGTCCAAGCCTCCTCCAGGTTTCACTTTCGCTTTCAATCTCCTAGCTTCCCCACCATAGTCCGCATCCGAGTCTATGAAAGCTTTCACTTTCGCTTTCAATCCTAACTTCTTTCCCACAGTCCATATCCGAGTCTATGCCTAGGCTTTCAATAGCTTCTTCCGGCACCTAGGCTCTTTGCTAGTCTCTCTCTCCGGTATTTTCCTGCTTCTTCCCGTTTCTTCCCTCCTAAGTTTCCTATCCGTCCTAGGTTTCCTAATCCGAGTCATGTTTCCTATCCGAGTCACGGCACCATTATGTCGCTCCCCGTCTTCGTGGAGGAGCAACACAGGACCCTGCGCTGTTCTCTCGTCTGCTCGGCCCTCCCCGGGTTTGCTGCTGGTTCTTCCCGGGTTGGCTACTATCCCTTCCACCTCCGTGGAAGGGTAGTTCCCCCTGGCCACATTCCCCACTTCCGCAGGGGAGCGGCACACCGCCGGCCGGCTCTCTCGGGGGCTGCACAGGTGTTCCCCTTAGAGGTTCCCCATAGATGTTCCTGGTGAATGCCGTCTCTCTCCTCCTTTATAGTCCTCCTCCGCCAATCCCAACTCGGCTGCCCACACGCCGAGTACGCTGCTCTCCTCCAATCAGTAGCAAGTCCTACAGTTTATTGGTTGAACTGGAGGCAGCTGTGCAGAAGCTGTTTACTTCTCTCCCAGCGCCATATTGTGGGAGAGCAGATGCATAGAATAAGTCTTAATTCCAGTAACTCAGTCTAGTCCGGTTTGCTCCCCACAGTGGGAGAGCAGATGCATAGAATAAGTCTTAATTCCAGTAACTCAGTCTAGTCCGGATTGCTCCCCACATGTATCATCACTTAGCACTGACCTCTCTATCAATATATAATTTCCTAAAAGGATCAAAGATTTTAAAAGTTCCTAAACTGCATTTCAGAAGGTGAGACATCCACAGTTTTGTTATCTTTTGTCATGTATGTTTGGAATGAGATCAGTGCGCATCAGAATTACCTGTGATGCTAAGAAGTGCACATGCACTGCCTCACCCAAAGCTTATTGTTTTAGAAACCTCTAGGAGCCTGACAGTTCTGAAGTAACTCCCTAATCAAACTCTTTCATTTCAGACTGCTAACAAAACTTTGGATGATTATTAATAGGAACACACACATTGCCATACCACTTGTATTTTTTTTACCATAAAACAATAAGTGTCATAAACCCTTTCAAAGTTCTCATTAAAAAAACCTCTAATCAAAACATGAGAACAACAGCAAATGGCCACAGCAGTGCTGACTTTAGCCGACACTATGCATAATCTGTGTGCATGCATACATGGGCATCTTCTTCCAGGGAAACAAGAGTTGGGCAAGCGAATAAAGGTTATGAATCCTTAACAATATTTTCAAGATTAAACAACTAGTCTTTAAAAGAAAATCTGAACACTGTTACAAATGGGGTAAATTGATACAGCTGGTTGCCTGAACAGACATGTCCAAAGGGTTAGATCACAACTATGTTTTTGCAAATTGCACCTGTAACATGGGGCACATTTCTCATCTGGGTCAGTTGCAGCACCTCAGTAAAATGGAAGTAACAGGATTTCATTCACAGCTAGTATTGCATGAAAGAAATCAGAAACTTATGAGTAACACAAAGACATTATCTATCTTAAAATTTAGTACAAGTGCAGTCTCAAAACCCCCTCATTCATATGTAAATTTTACACTACATATGGAAGAATTACTTAATATTAAAAATTTAATTCATGGGCCAGCGCCACGGCTCACTAGGCTAATCCTCCGCCTTGCAGCACCGGCACACTGGGTTCTAGTCCCCGTCAGGGCACCAGATTCTGTCCCAGCTGCCCCTCTTCCAGGTCAGCTCTCTGCTGTGGCCTGGGAGGGCAGTGGAGGATGGCTCATGTGCTTGGGCCCTGCACCTCATGGGAGACCAGGAGAAGCACCTGGCTCCTGGCTTCAGATCAGCATGGTGCGCCGGCCGCAGTGTGCCAGCCGTGGCAGCCATTGGAGGGTGAACCAACGGCAAAGGAAGACCTTTCTCTCTGTCTCTCTCTCTCACTATCCACTCTGCCTGTCAAAAAAAAAAAAAAAAACAAACTTAATTCATTCAGAGTACACAAGCACAATGGAGTGCTGTTTTTAAGGATGCATGATACAAATATTGTGTTACCTTAGGCACCTCGCATATAAGTTAGAGAAAACAGTCTTACCAGAAAATGATTTGACAGTAACATCTGTTGACTCTCTCCAGTTTCAGGATTTATGGTTCACCCTAAAGTTACACAAATCTAGCTTTTTTCCCTACTCTGCAAGCTTAGAACAAGCAGGAAGAAAAAACAGGTGTGTTTCAAGCATTTCCTATCAAACAGAAGTATTACAAGCTTATGGACTGGTTGGGTGGGGGAAGCTGATAAAAAGCCCAATTGGGAAATGTTGAAGGAAAAAGTTAGTTCATCCATCTTGGAGTCAGTACTTGTTCCTAATGTGGAAGAAAATACAGAGGGGAAAGAAATCTATTGGTGTAGATTCTGTGACATACAAAGCATGAGGATGAAGGCAGGTATAGCCTGCATGTCTAGGATCAAAACCTGCTGTACCTTTCTAGACAAGTGACAATCCTAATGAAGAAGGCAGAGATGTATAAGGAATACCTGTAACACAATCTCAGGTCTTTGAAGATGAAATAAAAACCAGGATCCAGGTAATAGGGCCAGCCCTGTGGTATAGTGGGTAAAGACCCCTGCAGTTCCAGCATTCCATATGGGCGCCAGTTCAAGACCTGGCTGCTTCACTTCTGATCTAGCTCTCTGCTATGTCTTGGGAAAGTGTAGAAGATGGCCCAGGTCCTTGGGCAGCTGCACCCACGTGGGAAACCTGGAAGAAGCTCCTGGCTCCTGACTTCACTTTGGTGCAGCTCGGGCTGTTGTGCCCAAGTGGGGAGTGAATCAACAGATGGAAGACCTCTCTATCTCTCTCTGCCTCTCCTTCTCTGTGTGTAACTCTGACTTTCAAATAATATAAATAAATCTTAAAAAAAAAAAGGCAGCCAGGAACTAACAAAAAGTCCCCATACCTACCCAGGACGGCCACCACTTCCGACCTCAGGTGTTCTGTTCCGTGGTGAGGCTGTGCAAATCAGCGCGCGGGTGAGGGTCCCCACTTCTTTTCCCAAAATTTCCTTCCTTAGCGCCTCAGAGATCCATGCTACGGGAGGCCCAGCAGAGGCTCTCAGCGCCCAGCAGTCCCCTCCCCGCTGCCCTCGGCTCAGAGCTTGGATCACAGCCACAGTGTCTGCTAGCCTTTATGATGCTCCGACGTCTCGGGTTGAGTCACTTCCAGCCCAGGCAGACTGGGGCCGCACCGTCTGAACCCCGGCCCACACTCAGGGGTCCAGATGGACCAACCCACACCTGTGAGCAAATGGCGTGCTCACCCTCCCCTCTCCGGGGCGACACTGACACCGGGAAGAGCAACGTTGGCCTCCTCCCAGCGTGGGGGCAGCGGTGGCACCAGGATCAGAGACGCTGACCAGTTCACACGCCTCTGTCTCCCTGTGACTCCGGCGGCACTCCCAGGCCGCCCTCCTCTGCACTTCAGTATCTTCCCTGCACCTGCCCACTACAAGAGAGGGGCTCGCTGCTTGCTGCTCCCCAGTCTTGGACCCTGTCTGAAGGCCGCTTTGGCGCCAAATCCCGAGGTAAAGTTAGAAGACAGTGGGGCGAGCCTGACGCGGAGCCCAGGCAGAGGCTGAACCCGCGCCTTTTATTTGTGCTACGGGGGCGGCGTTGGCAGTGCTGGGTGCTGCACAGTGGGCCGGGCCACTCTCCTCACCACCCGGAGCCTGGGGGAGTGAGGGGCGCCCTGACTGGCAGTGACTGCATCCTCCTCAGATGCCATCATTCCCTGTCCCGGGCCCTCTAGCGCAGCCATTTTTTTCTTCTCCAAGGAGACTCCTCGGCTGGGCGGGCTCCCTTCCTGCTTCTCCACTTTCTCCTTTGGGCCTCTCCGTATTCCTTCTTTCAGTTGTCCCCTGGCTCCTTGCCCCACCGCTTCTCCCTGGCCCAACAGCCACATTGTCTGAAGGGGAGCTTGAAGATAAAGTGTTTGTAACTTCTAACTAGGTGTCTTACAAAAAAAAATCGCTGTAAGTTAAACCAGTGATTATTTCTTTTCCTTGTCATTAGTAGCCTTTTTTTAGATCGATAGCAAATCTATAAAATTATATTATTGATTGCTTTCTATTAGTGTGCATTTTGAATGAACAATAGTTGTTTAAAAACATTTGACCCCAGTTCAGTTAGAGGGAATAGTTAAGTGTAAATAAAACTTCTGGCACCTTGAATGGTAACAAGAAGCCAGAGAAATATGAAATAAGCCTTCAGCACTCTCTACTGGCCTTGCTGCCTGGGCCGGCCGGGGGTGCGGCCTCTGGTGGAGGCAGGAATAGCTCAGGCCTTTTGGGCTCCCACGTGCAGCCGCTGGGACGTACACAGACTGGGACTTGCATTGCCACTGGCATCACCAGCACCAGTGTCCTGGACGGCAGCAAAGTCTGCACAGCCCCCTCTATGATGTCAAGGCCAAGGATGCCAAGAGGGTTGCAGAGCGGTGGAGAACCATGTGAGGAATAACCAAGTGATGGGAATTGGAAGTGGTTCTACAGTTGCCCATGCTGTGCAGCGAATAGGTAAGGACACAGAGTGAAAGGCAGCTATTATTAGTGGGAGACGGACCCTGTCCCTTCTGTAGGGTTTGAGCAAATATACCGGTGACAAGAAGAAAAGTGAGGAGAGTGAAACACCTCGGATATGGTTTTGTCTCCACAGCTGAAAGAGTGAAACAGGAGAATCTGAACCTTGTTTGTATTCCCACTTCCTTCCAGGCCTGGCAGCTCATGCTGCAGTATGGTTTAACCCTCAGTGACCTAGATCGACACCCAGAGAGGCTGCCTGACTCAGGGGAAGATTGTGGCAGGCTATGCCAGTCATTTCATTGTGATCACTGATTTCTGGAAAGATTCAAAGAGTCTCAGAGATCAGTGGCATAAGGGAATCCTCATCGAGGTCATCCTGATAATTCATGGTATACATTCTTACCTTAGCTATATTTGACCCTGGTTGGAATTTAAGGTCAAGAATGTAGGTCATAGGCACCTAAATGTGATTTACATGAGAAAATGCTATTTTCAAATAAAAATTCTTATGATGTTAAAAACTTAAAAATATTTTTGTGGGGCTGTCGTGACATAGTGGATAAAGCTACTTCCTGCAATGCCAGCATCTCATGTGGGCACTGGTTCATGCTCCAGCTATTATGCTTCCAATACAGCTCCCTGTTACTGACCTGGGAAAAGCAACAGAAGATGGCTCCTTTGGCCACAAGTCACCCATGTGGAAGACCTAGATGAAGCTCTTAGCTCTTGGCTTCAGCCTGGCCTAGTGCTGGCTATTGTGTCTATCTAGGGAGTTAACCAGCAAATGAAAGAACTCCCACTTTGTCTCTCCCTCACTCTCTAACTTTAAAAATAAATAAATCTCATTTTCATCTCTAAAATGCAAATATCAGAACTTGGAATTATGGTTGAATTGTATAAAACATTAATTTCTTCCTCACAAGATCACTGTCTTTGTTTTACAAGGTCAGTAACTCTTCTTACTCTTTGGTCTCTTTTTTAACTACACCTTTGATTTTCACCAAAATGTAGTACACTGACATAATTCCAGATTGTTCTGAGATTTTTCTGTGTACTCTTTGCGCATTATGATCATTTTCTTCATCTTTACATCAGATCATCTTGGCAAATACTAGCCTTTTGCACTTTAGAAACTGAAATTAAAGTTTCTCTTTAATCCCACACAGTGTGCTCATGAGATTTTTTTCCTAATTACCTCTGGTTACTAGAGTCTAGGTGTCCAGTTAATAGAGGAATGCTAGGAAGAAAGATCATTCCTAAGTGTTAGAATGAGCAGCACAATTACAACTCTAATGGGAAGTTAATAGTCATTGATGAAATTCCAGCAGAGTAATCTGATTTGGTTTCACATACTTTTTTCTTTTTTCCATTTTAATTAATTAATTAATTAATTTTAAAAGATTTTATTTATTTACTTAACAGGTAGAGTTACAGACAGTGAGAGGGAGAGACACAGAGAGGTCTTCCATCCACTGGTTAGCATCCACTGGTTAACATCCACTGATTAATTCAATGGCAGGAGCTGGGCTGATCAGAAGCCAGGAACCAGGAGTTTCTTCCCAGTCTCTCACACATGTGCAGGGGCCTAAGCACTTGGGCCATCTGCTGCTTTCCCAGGACATAACAGAGCGCTGGATTGGAAGAGGAGCAACCTGGACTAGAACTGGCGTCCATATGGGATGCCAGCACTTCAGGTGGAGAATTAACCTACTGTGCCACAGTGCCATTCCCTTTTAATTTATTTTTTAAGGTAAACAAAATTTATATATACAAATTTGGGCACACAGGGATACTTCCTACCCATGCTGCCATCCTTCCTCCTCCTTTCTCATGCCTTAATTTTCATATTTTCAGTTTATTTTACACTCATAAGATTAATCCTAAATTAAGTAAAGAATTCAACAAAGAGTAAGCAGAAAATAACATTGTTCCTCAAAAGTAGAGACAAGGGCTATAAACAATCATTGAATCTCAAAATGTCATTTTTGCTCATATAAAAACTTTTTGTGTATTCTACTAGTTACCACAGATCAGGGAAATAATATGGTATTTGTCTTTCTGGGACTGGTGTATATCAATATAATGGTTTTCATTGCATCCATTTTATTGCAAAATACAGGATTTCTTTCTTTTTTTCCAGCTGAATAGTATTCCATAGTGTGTGTGTATCACATTTCCTATATCCAGTCATTGGTTGATGGACGTCTGTGTTGTCTTCCACAATGGCTGTACTAGTTTACAACCTCAACAATAGTGATTAGGGTACCCTTTTCCACACATCCTCATCAGCATTAATTTTTTTTATTGATTTCTTTATGAGAGCCATTCTAACTGGGGTGAGGTGAAACCTCATTTTGGTATTTATTTGCATTTTCCTGATGGCAAATGATCCTGAGTATTTTCTCATGTGTTACCATTTGAATTTCCTCCTGTGAAAGACATCTGTTCAAGACCTTTGCCTGTTTCTTAAGCATATAAATCTGATTTGAATTACAGTTATTTTATTTCCTCTATGAAAACTTATCTTATAAGGAAATCAAATGATTTGTAAACCTATTTACTTTACTTTTGTTGCAATTACTATTTCTGAGTTGCTGTAGATATATTCCAGGCAATATATGAGTGCAATAATAATGCAACCTATCAAGTAATTTGTCTTTTAAAAAAGGCAAGTTTCATGAAATTTTACAGTGCTGCAACTTCTGCTTTTGAATCTGTTCCCAAAAGACCTGTGTGTGGGATGAGCGGGGATATCTGCTTCTCTCAGAGGTTTTTAAGAGCACAGCAAGTGAATATTAGAAAGTATACACTTGGGGATGGCGCCGTGGCTCACTAGGTTAATCCTCCACCTACAGCACTGGCATCCCATGTGGGCACCAGATTCTAGTCCTGGTTGCTCCTCTTCCAGTCCAGCTCTCTGCTGTGGCCTGGGAAGGCAGTGGAGGATGGCCCAAGTGTTTGGGACCTGCACCCGCATGGGAGACAAGGAGGAAGCACCTGGCTCCTGGCTTCAGATTGGCGTAGTTCCGGCTGTAGCGGCCTTTTGGGGAGTGAACCAAAGGAAGGAAGATCTTTCTCTCTAACTTTATATGTTAAAAAAAAGAAAGTATACACTTAATACAACTCTCAATTTTTATAGCTCCTTTATATTTGCAGTATTTAAAGTTAATGAGGTCATCTTGACTCTGGCGATTTTCAACGTCTATTAAGGATTGTTTTTCTATAGTTGACTGTAAAAAATATTTGGTTTAAGAGTTCCAGCATTGTGGTGACTCTTATCCAGCAGCATTTTCCCAAGATTTAAAGAAAAATAGATTTTTATAAAAGGGATTCTTTTTAATGTCTCAGTACATTATTTTTGTTACTAACAGAAACAAGTTATACTTTTTCCTCCCTAAAATTCACTCTGATGAAAGAAATAGTTTTTTTTTTTAACTCCTAACAAATGCTACATGCTCAAGACTTCAGGAATTATCACTTTCCCAAGTGATTTTTCCAGTTAGCATAATCTGTGTTAACTGATCTATAGGCATGACTAGTATGCCTCTCACATTCAGTAAAATTTTCACATATTTTTCATGGCCTTTCTGGGCTCTAGCACCACAATAAATTTGATCATACTGATAACTGTAAGACATTTCTAGAGGCAATTACCAACTACAAATGCAGATTCACAGAACTTAAATTTATCAAAGCTATTATTTTTGACAAAGCTCTCCAGTTTTTCCTTGGCATATTCCACTACATCTGAATGAAGCTCAATCCCATGATTTATTCTATTTTTTAACTTTTATTTAATGAATATAAATTTCCAAAGTACGGCTTATGGATTACAATGGCTTCCCCCCCCATAAGGTCCCTCCCACCCGCAACCCTCCCCTTTCCCACTCCCTCTCCCCTTCCGTTCACATCAAGATTCATTTTTGATTCTCTTTATATACAGAAGATCAGTTTAGCATACATTAAGTAAAGATTTCAACAGTTTGCTCCCACACAGAAACATA